TAATCCGGACGTGGGATTCAACCATAGTCTTGAGGAAGCTTGACTTGGCCACGACCAAGGGCAAGAGTGACTTGTTGTTTGGTGAGACTGGGAAATGGTAATGTAGAGTGTTTATGCCCCAGCTCACACTTGCATACTGATTTATACGATATTTTACACATTTTCTTATATTTTTAATAGAGTTCAAATATAGAAATAAATAAGTTTTGGGCATTATATGCTACTTTTAGTGTTTTCGTGGGTTTTAAAGTCAATCTAGAAAATTAGATCACTTTAGGCCTAAAAGGAGTGAAACAAGCCTTTTAAAGAAAGGACAGATTCTGACCACCATATGTTTTGCTCCAGATGAAAATGTTCCCACCGTTGGATCAACCTTATATTTTACCACGAGATAGACGAGGATCTTAGACTGATACTAAATATTTGATCGTGGAAATCCAACGGTTTGATCTCAAGATATGCACAAATTACCGAAGACCAATCCGTGCAGTATTGAAGGAGAAGCCAATACAGAATAACTATGCTGATCGATCGATCACAAGCTCCCTATTTTTTACGCTGAGATGATTTATCAAGGTGATCGACCGATCACAAAGGCATCCGATCGATCACCCAATCCGAGAAAAGAGAAAATCTTCTTTTTTAAAAAAAAATATCTCCTAAATCTTTTGGGATATATCCTAGCCGACTTCTCCACCTATAAAAGCATCAGAGAGGCCACGAAAATCAGTCACCACGCCGCAGCCAAAGCTTCACACAAAAGTCTCTTAGTTATTTGTTTGTTCGATTGTTTCCACATTTTTGTTCGATAAGAGAGAATATCTCACCTCTTGTTAACCACTAGAGAATCTATTCTGAACTCTTTCTATCTATTTATGATTATGATAATGAATTCTTTTCCTATTGCTTTGGTTTTTGCTATCATGTCTGAGTTGATTTGGGATTTCATGGCTTGATAAATAAGAATTGATAAGGATTTGAAATTTATCTAGCTTAATACATGATTGTTTTGATTGACAATCTTAGTGATTTGTTATACATTGGTCTAGTCTTGTTGAAAAATTGATTAGATCTATATGAACTAGTATTGGATTAGCTTTGTATCAACTTATGCAGCATACTTACTTTTTCACCTTCATAACCTGAATGAATTAGGCTATTAGACATGTTTAATCATTGATATGAGAATGTTATGATTGATTTACGATTGGATTGCATACTTGAAAAGAGTTATGTTCCTCGTTCCTGAATAGTTTAATCTTTGAATCCCAAAGAATTCCCTGCAGTCCAACGCTTATTTTATTTGATTTCACCATTTGCATTCTGATTTTAGTGACACAAAACCCCAAAAACCAACTGCAAACTTATAGTGCCCTCTTAGTCCTCA